ATATATATATATATAAATTTTCTGTGTTCCAAACCCTAGCAACCCCTCTCCTCTCTCAAACCCTAGCCCTAAACTTGAGTTTTCGGGAGAGTTTCATGAGGCGAAAAGCGAGGAGAAGGCGAGATTTGCGGCGTTTGGCATCGAGGGGTCATTTGCTGATTGTTTCAGGGGGTTGTGCACATGATAAGGTAAGATTATCTGCATCCAAACCCTTCCCTTAATAAAGATTAGACTTTTAATGGTTAAAGTGATGTTTTTTGTGGTAAAGTTTAACCCGACATGATAAAGTTTAGATTTTTGATGATAATTCTTTAAACCATGTTAGATATATAATAATTCCTTGCTGTTTATGATAGAAATATGATCATGATCATTAGGGTTATTCATAATTTTTTTTTAATTTATTAATCATGATTAAACCATGTTTAAATCATAATTTGGCAATTAAATAATATTTTATGTTGATTAGAGATGCTTAAAACCCTAGATTTAGGATAAAACAAGATTTGAAAATGTGGAAAAACAATTGTTACATCGGTTTCAAGTTTCATACAAGTATATTTATGTTAATTTTGTCGATAACTAGGGTTCTTGTAAAGAATTTGATTATTTAGGTTGTTAAACTTGATTAAGTTAAATCAAGTTTAAGTAAATCATGAGATATTTTTCTGATATGTAGAAATAAAGTTTTCATCTTGTCATATGATTTACAAATGAAAAAATTCATGTTTTTGATGAGTTAAAATTTCTGCAAGTTCAAAACCCGAAAACCTATTATGATTCTGCGCGGTCGACCGCGGTGGACGCGGAGGTCGACCGCTGGGCATCGTTTTTGTACAGGAAGCTCTCTGTTTCTGCTTGGTCGACCGCGGTGAACGCGGCGGTCGACCGTTAGGTGATATTTTGTGCAATATCTTTCTGCTCATTTCACGGTTGAACGCGGTGGTCGCGGCGATCGACCGCTGGACTTGTTTGTGCATGTGCATGTTGTTTACATGCGTTTGTGTGACCGACGAGTTGTCTGAGTTATCTGTTATTTTAATACACTGTAAATTGTGTGTTCTACACATGAGTTGATTATAAACATGAGTTTAGGATTCACTCACCGAGGCACGAGTGTGTATAGTATATATGCATTTTACTTACATCATTTATTTGTATTACGCTCATCATATGCAGTCCTCGTGTTGGACATTTATCTATTACGACCCATGTGTTGGACCTTAATCATTTGCAGTCCATGTGTTAGGCATTTACCTATTACGGCCTATGTGTTGGACCTTAATCATATGCAGTTCTCGTGTTGGACATTTACCTATTGCGGCCCATGTGTTAGGCCATAATTATATGCCGTCCTCGTGTTGGACATTTATCTATTGTAGTTCATGTGTTGGACATTCATCATATATAGTCCATGTGTTTGACACTTATTCGAATTGTCTTATCTAATATGTAGTAGGTGAAATCCATGTGTTGGACACGTATCTGATATCTGTCAGGACACATTTGATATGGTTTGAGATGGAGTTGTCTTTTCTTTTGCTCCATGTAGTAGCTTTTGGATTTGGTATTTAGCTATTCACAATTTGAGCTAACGGGATATTCGACATACCTATGCTCGTGTTGTGGATTTCTAAATATCAACATCTATTTAATTCAGAGTAGATGATTGCTTATATGTATATATTAACAAGTATTTTTCTTATATACGGGGAAAATGATCTAGGTAGGCTATGCTTAATAGATAGAGCCTCCACTTCATTTAGTAGCCCTTTCCCGGGGGCGGATGAAGGTAATCTTGCTAGCGCTCTGACGTTCTTATTGTTGTCCTTTTTCTTTTATTTTATTTTAACTTTTAGGTGGCTCAGAGCATCGGAGGATCGCAGGATGACGGAGTTATTGCATAGTCGCCGAATCACATGAGTTACTAGTAGAGACTCCACAGTAGAGTTATTTTCATTCGGACATTAAAGTTTTTTTTCACATTTTGTAAAGGCTATGAGCCTTAGTTACATTTTCAGTTGTTTCATATCGAGACATATTTATTTATTTCGGATGTCGGATGTATTCCAGACTGTTCACTGAGACATGATTTATTTATGAGATACTCCTTTCTATGTCACGTCTGTTGTAGTTATTTTCTTTCTTTTACCTGTTTTGTACCTACACTTTACTTTGATTCCACTAGAGGATATTACTGTGATTGGTAAAACTTATTGCACAGTGTGGGTGCATGGCAGGTTTGACATCTCTGGGTTCATCTTGGACTGCAGCTATGTGTAAAAATAGGGGCGTCGCAGCTGGTATCAGAGCTCTAGTTCCAGTATCCTTAGGATCATCCTGTGTCGAGTCGTGGAGCTAGAATAGAGTTTCTTAGGATTCATGTATAGAGTTCGCTTGAAATTTCTAGAATGAGTGAGGACGTTAAATACGTATATTCAAAAAAAAATTATGAATTTTTTTATGAAAACTATTTTACTTTGATTGAAAAGTAATTGCCTAAATACATATTGTGATACGTTATGTATATATATAAT